TCAATCGAACCAAACTAGCATCAGACATATCGATTAGGCTCTGTTTAAATTTTAAACGGTTATGATCCTAGGATTAAGATCAATCGGCTTTAACCCAACTATTTTTAATTAATTAATTTTATTTATTTATTTATTCGATTTGATGAATGGTTTTATTTGCCATATTTTGTAAGAAGATGGCTGTCAAATCCCCTCTTTTTCACTTAGGAGAGAGTGCAAGCGTCACATGCCTATGATGCCTACGACACTGCAAACAAGACGTCATAGAGCTTGACTAATGAGATGCTAGTATGACACCACGTGTCGAGCATCTAAAGCGCCTAAGCTCATTTTTTTTCAATATAATTTAACGTGGTAATTCTCCACTAAATATAAATCTTGGCTCTTGTTTTTCTTTTGTATTTGTGTCATTCTTATACCTAATTATTTTTCATTAACAAACTTGAGCGTCAGTGTGTACGATCACAGCATCCCCGTCTTTTTTGTTCTTGAAGGGGACTTGATCATGCTCCTCTAACATGTGCATTTAAGTCCACGGGTAATATACATGTGGATAAGAGTGAAGACGGAGATCTCTTAATGCGTAGTGTTCCAACCAGATTTAGAGGTCAATAATTTAATTGTAAGAAAATCATCCATTCTCAGTTTTAATGGTTTTCTTTGGAATCAAACCATTTGAAACCACGTCCATTCTTAATTTTAAGAGAGCGTGTTTCTAGAAGAGATAACGTCAGTCTCAAAAATGTTTAGAACTTATTTCAACTAAGCCAAGATAACTTGGTTACGGTCAAGTTGAGCAAAAAGAAACTTCAAATTTTCTAAGTAAACCTATACTTCATGAACGGATTTCTTGACCCAAGCTTTTTCTAAAGTCTAACTCATTTATCTATTTTCTCTTTTTCTAGTAAATTGCAAAAAGTCCACAGAACGTAGTGTTAGAAATGAAAGTTTATTCACTTGTTACACAAGATTCTTTACTTCATTACTAGAAATAATTACACTTAATACTTTATTTTCCTTTTAAAAATTGAAAACAATTTCATTGTTCAGATTTTGGTTGTTTATTTAAACCAAATCAAGACTTTTTGAAGAATACTAATCTTGGATACTACGCAAATTCAAATGCCAACAAACTTTATATTAGCTGTGTGCATTTTAATCGGTACCAAACCTTCTAAATCGAACTGAAATTGTCAGTTTTGGTCCAATTTCAAAAATTGAATGAAAACAAATGGTTCAATTTCCAAAATACACGAAGTTTAATGGGAGTTTACTGCTCTTAAAACTTCGGACCGAACCCAATTAGGAACCACATTTTGACTTTATATTAAAGTTTGTATACTTTTCACTTTCGAATGTTGTGTAAATTATGTGATTGCATTCGCAAGTAGTAGATTCGGCAAAGAAATTAGTATTAGGGTCCGTTTGCAAAGGTAAAAAAGGCAAACCAATTCCATGTAAGTTGAAAAAAAAAAAACCATAGGAATGCATATTCGATGATATTCGATGGAATTAGCTAAAAACATGCTCAAAGTTTTTGTATCTTGAAATTTGAATTTCATTTTCACTTTCGTATCAAGAAGTCAAAGTACAAAATGAATTTTTCGAATGTGACATTTTCTATGAAATTCACTCCAATCAAAAGGACTGTTAATGTAATTGATTGCTGATGGAGATCTAGAAGAGCTGGAAAGGAATCTTATGAAAACCAATGAGTCAATATATATCTCTTTGTTACCATTTTTATTTAAAAATATAACCTAAAAATTTAATTATTAATTTATTGGCTTTTTTTTTTTTTTGGTGTGTGTGTGTGAAAAAGTGCTATGGTAAAATCGAACCCACCGTTTCAGTTCTAGCTCCAAAAAGTATATAACTAGTTCTATTTATAAAATATTCGAAGTTTAATGTATGGTTTCAACTCTTGACATATCCGGACTAACCCACTTGTTTTCCATCCTTGTCCTACATCTATTTAAAGTTTCCATTCGCTGCCACAATTATTATATATCATCTTCACCAAAATTGTCGTCGTCACCACTAGGACCCACCACCATCATTGCGATCCATTACCACCATTGTCATTGATCTGTTGAAATTTTAAACTTTACAAAGCTAAAAATTTAAAAGCCTAAATTCCTTTATTGCTAATATTCTCCATGTCAAATCCCCAAAAAAATTAATAATGAGGAACATACCTTAATTCTTTGGAAATATTTCTTTATTGTTGGATCTTGAATTTTGAAAATCAACTTGGAATTCCTTCTTGATTGGTTTCTCACTTTCAATCTTGATTGTTTTGTTTGATTCTTTAATTCTTGTTCTTGGTCTTGCTTCTTGATCGATAGTCTTGATTCTTGAATTCTTTTTTCTTAATTGTGGGTATTGAATCTTTATCTTCAATATGCTTTCTCTTGTATTCTTGTGTTGATTGGATGACGCAAAAAAATGAAAAGTTACATATAAATTGAAGACCATAATCCTATATATAGTTTTCATATGTATTTCGTCCACCATGAAATATAATTTATAAAGGAATCTAATATCTACACATATAATTCGACCAATACTTTATTTAAATATTCTAGGCCCAACAATTTAATTCTTTATTAGATTACTTTAATTTTGGGTTTAACTTTAAAATAGCCTTATACACAATTAATTACATATGTAGATTAGCATAATAAATTAAAAATTTCCCAACAATCTTCCACTTGGGCCATATATGTTACCTGGTAAATTTGTATAACTTTATGACATCAAAATTTTTGCTATTATAACCAAAAGCATCTTCGAATAATCTCATCCATCAATTATGTCAATACATGATCAAATCGGCCTTGGTCAAGTATATCAACACAATCAAATGACATAAATCAAGTGTGGATGTATAGCAAGAAAATTACGTGCAATGTGATCCAAACAAGTCTATTTTCTGATCATTCCTTATTATTTAATGAGATCTATCATAAATTTTAATCAGAGTGGAACTGAACTTAATACTTTATTTCTGAAATAAATTGAATATCTATGGATAGAATTATGTGTCTAAAATAAACCGCATCCGAATACAAATTACCACTATACTGGCATATCATCAAAAGATGTAATACCCATGGGAGCAGTATACTCATAAAAGACTTTAGGTGATGGCCCCTTAGTAAGTAGATCCGCAATTATAGAGTTTGTTCTAATATATTCCATAGAACCCTGAATACTTTGAATTATTTCCTTAATAACTAAAAGCATAACTAAAGTGGTCTTTCAAATCCATCCAAAATTTATAGCACAGTGACAAAATTTTACAGTCATATTTCCTTATTAGAACTAGAAAACCTAATCATCTCCAATTAATCTTATTTTCCTGAATGTGATCATGTGATTTTTAGTTCTCTGTAAATACCGAATATCCTAATTGGCTGCTTTCCAAATATCCATCCCAAAGTTACTAAAATATTTGCCTAGCATCCAAACAATGAATACCATGTATAGACGTATGCATACATTAAACTCCCAACTGTTGAAGCATAGGAAATTTTCTGTATTTTCTTTCTTTAAGTTTATCTTTGGGGCATTAATTGAGACTAAACTTATTTTTCTTAATTAAAGGGGTATCACTTGGTTTACATAACCTGCGTCCCAAATTCTTTAAGAACTTTATCAATATAGCTATTTTGTAATAATCCAAATATGCCCCAACAACGATCCCGGTGTATTTTGTATCCCAGATACAAACGAAGCGTCATCAAAATCTTTTGTTTCATAATTCCATGATAGAAATCTCTTGGTTTCATGATAAATATATATCATTGCAAACAAATAGTATGTCATCAACATACAATACTTGAAAGATATGCTTACTTTCACTGAATTTGTGATATACACAATCATTAACCGTATTTATTTCAAAATCAAACAAGATAATTATTTGATGAAATTTCCATTGACGAAATTTCTACTTATGCCCATAGATAGATTTTTTTAATTTGTAAGTCATCGGATATAGCTTAAGATCAAAATGTGTCATATGTGTCATAATAGTCTTTGAATAATCTTTCACAGAAACCGAAGAGAAAGGCTCTTTAATTTCAATATCTTCATTTTGAGTAAAGTCATTTCACAACAAGATGAGCCATATATCTTTCTACATCACCCTTTGAATCCCTCTTGATTTTAAATATTTATTTAAAATTGATGAGTTTCGCATCTTCAGACAATGGGATGAGTTCTTAAACGTCATTGTTACACATCAATTTTATCTTTTTATTCATGACATCAATCCATTCTTAAGAATTATTTCATTTGCATTGTATGATGAAAGTTAATTTTATCATATCTTCTTCTACCAATACAATACCATCCTTATTTTCTTGGAGAAAGACTATAAAATTATCCAAATTGCCACTCTTTTCTTTAGAGGATTTCTTAATGGCATTTGTTTTTGAGGTTTTTGAAACAATCTTTTGATTGTTATGGGAAAGATTTTGCAATATTGTCTTAATCTCAAATTGCTCTTGAACAAGATCTGGAGCAAGAATTTGTCCTTTGTCCTAATCACTGTCAATTACAACATAAGAGATATATAAATATTCTTCTTCAAGGACAAAGTCCTTAACCTCAAAACCTTATCCCCCAAACTCTACATCTTCAAGAAATCGGACATTTTCCTTTTCAAAAATTGACCTAATAGTGGGATCTTTAAAATTTCTAACCTCTTAATGGTTGTTTTACTTGGAACTTTATTGAGAATTTAAGCTACAATCTTTAGTGATTCTTCGTAGAGAGATTTTGGTAAGATGAAATGACTAATCACACACCTTACCATTTCTTTAATTGTTCCGTTTCATCTTTCAGTAACACCATTCATGCTAGAGGACCCGAGCATGGTATACTGTAGGACTATTCCACATTCCTCTAGAAATTTTATCAAAAGGCCCTGACATTGTTCTCCCGATCAATCATCTCTACTATACCACTATGGTAAGATCTAACTTGTTTAATTCTTTACTAATTTGATTTCCAACATCAACCTCATAAGTTTTGAATATGACCAGTGATTAAGATTTCTTATGAATGAGATACAAGTAGCCATAATAAGAAAAATTCTCTATAAACGTAATAAATGACTGTTGACCACTCCAAAAAGTCGAAGGGAATGGTCCATAGATATCCATATAAATTAGTTCCAAGATGTTCGAAGTTTTATCCCTCATGTTTGTTTGTTTTTCCTTAATGTAATTAATATAAACACTTGAGTATGAAAAATTAAGGGAATCAAGCATTCCTTTTGACACAAGATTTTCCATTCTTCTTTGAGATATGAGACCTAATCGCTTGTATCATAACGAAGCAGAATTATCACTGGTTAATTTATGTTTAGTATCACGTGAATTCACATGCAATGTTTCTTTATAAGAGGCAACTATATTAAGAAAATATAGGTTATCATAACGGGATAAAGAACCGGTACGAAGAATATTTTAATTAAGAAAAATAATAAACTAATTATTTTCAATTGAACAAAAGTAATTGAATTTGTTCAAAGTAGAAATACAAATCAAATTTGTCCAAAAATATGGTACCACAAACGTCTCTTTCAATTTTGATTGGTTTCTGCTTTTAGTTCTGATTGCCTTGTTTGATTATTTAATTCTTTTTCTTGGTTTTGCTTTTTGATACACAGTCTTGATTCTTGCATTCTTTATTATTGATTGTGGGTATTAGATCTTCTATTTTAATATGTTTTCTCTTATATTCTTGTGTTGATGATAGTGATGGCAAAAAAAAAGCCCGCCCCGATGAGTTGGCGAGGCAGGGTGGGGCAGGATGGGGTGCCCCGTCGAGGGGCGAGGGGCCCCGTCCCGTGAAATTTTTATTTTATTTTTTTACATTTTAAAATTTTCAAGTTATATTATTATTAGATAATAAAATACAAATGTAAAATTTTAATTAATTACAAAAGAAATAAAATTTAGTCAAAACGTAATTTTATTTGAAATTGTTTAATTTTTAACATTGTTTATTTCAAGTGTTTACTTTAAATTTTAAAATTTTGAATTTATATTTTATTCTCTAATAATAATATAATTTCAAAATAAAAAAAAATAAACGAGGCGACAAATGGGGCGTGACCTGGCCCCGCCCCACCCCGTTTGGGGCGGGGAGGGTCGTGGTGTGGGGCGTCGCGGGGAGGGGTAGGGCGAGGGTGCCCCACCCCACTGCCATCCCTAGTTGATGAGATGATGAAAAGAATGAGAAATTGCATATAAATTAGGGATCATAACTCTATATATAGTTTTCATATGTATTTCGCTCGTCGTGAAATATAATTTTAAAGGAATTTGATCTCCATACATATGATTTGACCCACACTTTATTTAGATCCTAAGCCCAACAAATTAATTCTTTATTAAATCATTTTAATTTTGGACTTAACTTTAAGATAGTATTATATACAATTAGTTACATATATAGACCCACATGACAAATTAAAATTTTCCCAACATGATCACCATTTTAAACACCACAGCAAACTCTGGACCTAGCATTGCAGTCCACCACGACCATCGAGATCGAGATCACTATCGGAACCATCGCCACAGAACTCTAGATCTATAGTTATTGAACGATGGTTGTGGTGTCTGGAAATTTTGGTACTAGAGAATGTCGGAAGCGGCGAAGGTGATGGTGGTTGTCACCCGCAAGCGAATGTGATAGTGTTGGTTGAGAGAAAGTAGTGGGGGACATGTTAAATCCATTCAAAAGTAACCCTTTCCTTAAAATAAATAACTAAAAAAATAACTTATGAAAAAATTTTAAAGTATAATTTACATATAATCGAAATTAATTACCCATAAATATAACCAAGCAGGAGAGACATCCCAAAAGTTTGACAAAAAATAATTGGAGCACAAATTATTCAGTGGTAGCATACAAGAAAACAACGTATGTCAGACAACATGCTTCATGCATGACGTCGACAACAAACTAAATTTTTTGACCCTCAAAATCGATATTCTCATTTCTTTCCATATGAACATGTAGTAACCATCGAATGTTAAAATAAACAAAAGATTATAAATGGCTTCATAAAATTTGGTGGTTCTAAATTTGTGTAGATTACATTTTTAAGGGAATTTTGGATTGCTTCGCAACAAAGACATCATATAGAAGTATGAATCCAGTTATACTATCCTCATATCTTGTCCTTGGCCACGATCAAATACAGACAGAAATGACATCAGAACAGAAAGCACATCATCTTGCAGGTTTGATCCACACCTACAAGAAAGGGAAAAGTTATTAGGGAAAATTCATGATCTTCCAAACAGAAAGAACTACACTTATACCAATAACTTTGCTTAAACCACGATGTGGCATACAATTTTGTCATTGATTTTAATAATACTTAAAATAATCCATGTAAACACATCATGAAATGTCATCTATGATGTACAAAAATAATGTACAAGTAGCTTAATTCAAAATTTAAATCAATAATATATCAAATAAGGACTTAGGCAAGGCGGTTCAAGATTCAAATCTTGTTTGTGTATGCATCATGCATGTGTATGAAGTTTAATTAAAAAATAAATCAGTCCCCAAAATATTGATAACTCTGTGACTACACAGTTCTATATGGCTATGTAACCCCAGCCTCCATGATGCAGTGATTACTCTGCACTAATTAAAGCTTAGAGAAGAAGATGGAAAATCAAGGCATGGAGTTGTTCCAATCTTAGTTTATCAGGCATAGAAAGGTTCATAATAGAGAATCAATCAACACGAAATTATACCATTCAGAAAACCTAATTTGAATAACCCACGATTCTAATATATATATCACGAATCAAGATTTATGAACAAACAACACGAGAAGAAAACAACTCCGATCAGCAAGAAAAATAAAGGCAGTAAAAATAAGAGTTTCAAGACAAACCTCTCTAAGGTTTAATTTAATTTTATTAATTTTTTTTCCTCTTCTTCAAAACTAGCTAGTAAAAACATAGAAATATCAGCAGCAGCAGGCTACATGTCTTCTCTTCTAAGCTTATTTAATAAAGCTGTAATAAGGGTATCTCTTTTTTCTGCTCTAGCTTCTTCTCTAATTCTCCTTTGTTCTTCCCTTTCTCTCCATTTTCTATCCATCATCATCCTCTCATTTTCTAAATCCTCCATTGTTTTTCTCCATTCCATTTCTTTTATTCTTCTCTCTTGTTCTCTTGCTTCATATGCTTTCAGCCACTGCATCTCCATTTGCATCTGTTGCTTCATGAATTCTTCCATTATCTCCCTTATACTTGTGATCAAATTGCTCGAATTGCCGGTATTTGTATTGCTTCTAGTCTTCCTTTTCTTCTTACTGCTACCCTTTTGATCTACATCGCTGTCGTCATTATCGTCCTCCTCGTCTGAAGATATCTGCGCCGTGGCCGCCGCTTTTTTCTTCGAACTACTTGCTCCACCGCCTTCAGCTTCAATCCATAGCATTCTTTGCATTCTTGCACCAAATATTGCTTGGAGTTCATTGTAAAATGGAAACTGTTGGCGCATACCTTCTGACTCCATCGTTTCACATCCCTATAAATTGCAGTGTGCAATTCACAAAATTTTAGCTTATTTTTCGATAAGTATAAATCCTCCCCAACAAATAAAAAACAAGGTTTTAAATCTTTTTGATGATAATGGATATAAAATATTTACCTTGAATCGGGTTACGAGGTTTTTCCATTTGCACTTACACTGATCAGCGCTTCGATTATAACCCTTTTCTTTCATTCTAGTGGAGATTACTTCCCAAAGAAGCTTATTCCTTTTAGTCTCCATGAACGTCGGATCGAGCTCGGCCCGAACAATCAAGAAATCCCTGGTTTCTTGAATACTCCATTGAGGGAACCTATCAGCTCCACCGCCACCGCCTGTATCTATATTTACACTGGTGTAAGGGTGGTGGTGGCCCTCCATGAGAATTATATAGATATCGATTCACTGAATTGACGAAGGTAGATGGAAAGACAGGAAGATTGATCGAATGAGAAAAGAAAAAGAAAGGTAGAGAGAGAAACTGGAGAAGATTTATATATATCTGTAGTGTGAATATATGGTGTGAAACTGTGAATTATCAAATTGTCAATGAAAAAGAATGATTTTAAAGCTTGGGTGTCAAAAGAGAGCGTTCATATATGAAAATGAAAGGAAAAATAAAGCAACTACTACTTTCTCTCTCCATCTCTCTCGTTCTTTTTCTTCTCCTGCACAACAGTTTCTTCCAGATAAATCCCTCTGACTATGCGGAAACACAGTTCTCTCTCTGTACAATATACGAAAATAATTATTATTTTTTTTGGGTATACACATTTGTTCATATTACGTTTGACATTTGTCATGCTTACGACAAGAAAAAAAATTGTCAGATGAAATGACTTTTAGAGGGGTTTATTCCCTGTGACCAGTTGTAATTCTTGCTTGACAAGCTTTTATTTTCTTTTATTAATTACGATATCTCCCTGAATTTTGAGTCGTCAAAGTCTTTATAACTCAACCTAATCAGATTGTCGGCTATGCTATTATTTATTTGATCAGTTGTCCAAATTTTAAAATTTCACTACTAATAATCCGTATGTTTACGAGCGGGAGAGGCATTGGATCGGTTCCTAACTTATTTGTATATGTTAATTTAAAAAAATAAATAGATAAAATCAGCAATCCGTTCTAGAGGTCTTCATTATTAATTATGATATATTTATAAATTTAAGTCGTCAAAGTCTTTATAACTCGACCTTTTTTAATTCTTTGACTACGCTATTTTTCATTTTACCACCAGTCCAAAATTTAAAAATTCATGACTGAATACAATGCGCAGAATGGAAACCATATCCAATAATGATTTTTTATTACCCATAGATTGCCGAGGTACTGCCTTGGCCCCTAGCTTTTTTGAACAAATGGATTGGCTAACACTATTCAGCCCCCGTTTGATTGGGATTAAAATTAATTTTTTCGTAGATTTTGATAAAAAAATTTAAAATACGTGATTGAAAAATTGTGTGAATCATGAAATATGTGGTTAATATAGATTGTATGATTTTGACTTAAATTAAAATCTGATTTAAATTAATATCAAATAGGGGCTCAGTTCTTTAATTTATTCTATAAATATGACATTTTTTTTTAATAACATGCAAGTGCACCTTGTGATGGACATGATGAATAGTTTAATAAGTGGGTCTAAAGCACGGATTGGAGGTGACAAAAGAGTGGCATATTATACTAGTCAAGACGCTAGTAAATAGTTAATCTGTCATTAAGAAGTTTAACTAACTTGCATCAACAAAATTTTGTCCGTACCAATTCCTAATTTCATATTTGCACGTACATCATGTAATTATTTTAATTTTGCCTACATTTGCTAGAATGAACATGACAATTTAACAATTAGAACTCTAAACCTTTCACTTTCAAACCCCTTGAGTTTATTTGAAATATAATTAGGAAGTCACTTTTAATACGACAAGTCAACTGATTCGTTACAAGTCCATTAAAATTTAAGGTAGTGTTTGATTGGAGGTGAAATTCCATGGAAAATGAAATTGGAATTCCACATTCCAATTTAATGGTGTTTGATAACATTTTAATGGTCTAGAATTGCATTTTCATGTTTTGTGCTACATCAGCCCAATTCTATATGGTGAGAATTGCAATTCTAGATTACTTTAGCGTTTTTTTTCCGATTTTTTTATTTTTGGTGGCAATGAAGACAAATTTTAAGAATTATTGTAAAAAAATATTTTCCTTTAATTGACAAATTTCATGTAAAACAAAACTAAACGAACATAAAAAGATAGATGATCTTCTTGAAATTTTTGTTTTTTTGTTTTGTTTTGGCAATGAAAACAAATTTCATCCCCAATACCAATAAATTATATCCCTTTAATTGATAATTTTCATATAAAACAAAACCAAACGGACATAAAAAAATATTTTAATTTAAAAAATTTTCAGGTGGAAAATATATCAATCAAATATAACAATTTACAATTCCCAGGAAAACAATTTCTCATCAATTCAATTCCATGAAATTCATTTTTTTCCACCCAAATTCCACCTTTGCAATCAAACAGACCCTAACATATATTTGGTGAGGATTAAAAATAAGTATTAATTTTGATTTAAATTAAAATTTTATTTTTATTTCCTACGAACAACGACTTAAACAATTGCAAAATCAAAAGCCAAAAAGGGTACTACTTTAATCAACGACTTAAACATTTGCAAAATCAAAAGACGAAAAGGGTACTACTTTAATCAAGATTTGGATTTTTGTGGTGGGCTCTCTCAATGTATTCTAGTCTAATCCAATACGCGGATTCTGTCACACCCGCGTGAGCCCACCAACCGTGTTATTCCACGTGTCGGACATGCAGGACATCCAACAGTTGAATTGTGGGACCCACATTTGGATTCGAAACTACGTTTGCTTGGCAAATACAAACTACTAATTAGAGACGCGACAGAGCAAGAAAATTGCACATCCGGGCAAAGATATCCAATTGACAATGTTTGGAATTTAAATTATTTTATGCTTTCAATTTCTAATTTCATGTCGACAATTGATTTGGAAGTTGATAATGTCTTGGCATCAGTGCCTAGGGCGATACCTAAAATTGGACAAATTATCCATTCATATTGGACAACGTAGACAACCACCAATAATGACCAACAAAGCAAGTCACTTTACATCTATACTGGGCCGTCAACTTTTATGAACACTTTACGTCCATGCTGAGGGGGTCGATCCTCATAAGATCATCTATTACGTGGCCTACCCAACACTTAGCCATAAAATTATCAATGAATTGAATGAAAATCACGTAACGGCTATCACAAGAACAACCAACTGGTGGATAGTTGGAGGCCCCCTAGTGGCATCAACGAGCTAAGCCGTCTCGCGAGCCAAAACCTGAGGCTCGAGCTCAACTCGAGTAAAACGGTCCGAGGTTTTATGCTAGCCCAAGCCTTACAGAGTCGAGCTGAGCTGAGCATACTCAATTTTTTTGTCCTTTTTTTAATAAATAAAGGCAGCACTCAACTGTCTAAAAAAGTGCTACCTTTTTTACGGCAGCAACCATTTTTTAGGCAGCAACCTGCTGCCTTCTTTAAACCCTTCCCATCCTTTTGTTTTGTTTAAGGACCATGAGCTCGAGCCGGCGAGCCACACGGATTGGCTCATAGCTTTTCTCAGGCTGAGCCATGAGCTGACACGGACTTTTTTCGAGCCAAGCCACAGGTGGCTCGAGCCGCGCAAGCTCGATTGCCACCCTTAGGCCCCCTACATAGAACGTGACAGCAATGAAAGGGGCTATGTTGGTCATGTGCACCATAACTGTCCAACACGTGTGGCTCCAGTCTTCTATAAATACACTCAAAGTAAAAATCAGTATCTCTTTGGAAAAATTTTGGCTATCTAAATACTTTCCTCGCTTTTCTTAACATAACATACTAATTCTCACACCAAAGGTAAAAGGGGGAGAAAGCCCCCACGCCCTCATTTTTTAGGGAATACTTGTCTGTCGGAACAACAGGAGCACCATACGTGGTCAGGAGGGCATAGGGGTTTGTTTCGTTATATCTGCACCCATATAAAACGTGCAAAATTAAAATCTAATAATATATCAAGACTACGCATGTGACAGAATAAATCATGCAGTAAGATAATATCTAAAATATTCGATCAACATGAAATACAATCCCTTCATCAACTATATCTCAATTGGCAGAGAAAATTGGAATGACTTTCGGCCATGTTTGTTTTTTATTTTTGTAAGAATGAGAATGAAAAATAGAGCCGTAATGAATCCTATAGAAGAGATAGAAATTCAAATTTAGTGACTTGATATGATAGATAACGATCATATTTTTCATTTTAATGAGGAAAGAATGAGAAACAAACAGGAGGTCAATCGACCGATTCCATTCTCTGTTACTTAGAGCTATTGATTCATCGAAATGTATTCGAAATCCTATTAAAATTATAACTCCACCTTGGCAAATAACTTTTAGTATTAATACTCAAGTCCATGAATTAGGAGTAGTTAATACCATCTTGATCATCCACCAATCTTCATGTTAATCACGTCATTTTCAATTAGTCTTGTATTGGCAACCCCAAATAGATTCACGTTCAGAACTATCAAAGTATGATGGTCTACACATGAGATTCCATGAAGATCTCAGGTCTAAGAATATCTCTACGAGACTCATTAAATGTAAAATCTTTTTACTTTTAGACTAATTTTTGAAAATAAGCTTTAATGAATTCTTTATTTTAATTTTAAAATAAAAAGTGAGTTTGACTATCCAAATTTAGAGAGCTAAATTCATTCTTCATTCTTAATTTACTTACATTTAATAAGATACAGATTTTAATAGTCCACTCTTAAATTATTCAAACTACATTTAAATTGTTTGGTCATTAACATATGAAAAAGATAAAATAAATATGAGATAAATCAATCAATATTTATTGAAAAAAAAAAGCAGAAAAAAGTCAAAATAGAGAATATTATTGAAGTGTATAAAAAGTTTTATTCTCTAAATTTAAATATGCTGTCTATTATGCATGAGATGTTCTTTATAAGTAATCTCTTAGAGATTGTCTAATGGTAAGTTTAACAATTGTCGTTGAGAAATAATCCAATGACATTGAGAGTGTAAGCGAATCTCTACAATAGATTCTTAATGATCTTGTTCATCTAATAAGCATTCATATATTTACTTGAGTATCCTTCACACTTTAGTTGATAAGATGAACTACTACCTTTAAAAGAGAAAATTACGATATGTGCGAGCTAATGAAATCCATGTCTCATTTGTCTATACAACTAAAGATAATTTTAAAATGCGTTAAAATGATATATAAAATATATCCCACAATTATATCCTTGTGATTAACATATCACTTGCATTTCTTAGAACTCTATTTTCTTAATTATTTATCTAAATAAACAATTACATTTGATAATAAGTAAAGTAATTATCTCCAAATATTTATTTGGATACAGGACATAATACTGACAAGTTTTAGGATACTATTCACAAAGTGGAGAGGAGTGACGGTTGCGAGGATGGGATGGATGAGACTCCGTGTGGTAACGGACAGGTGACCGGAAGATGAAGAATTTTCTTTTCTTTTGCACTTTTTGAAAAAGATTAGGGAACCCTAAGAAAATTTTCCTTTTTTCATT